AGTTGTGTGAAAAAGTGTTTGCCCCCTTCCTGATTTCTTATTTTTTTGCATGTTTGTCACACTTAAATGTTTCAGATCATCAAACAAATTTAAATATTAGACAAAGATAACACAAGTAAACACAAAATGCAGTTTTTAAATGAAGGTTTTTATTATTAAGGGGGAAAAAAATCCAAACCTACATGGCCCTGTGTGAAAAAGTGATTGCCCCCTAAACCTAATAACTGGTTGGGCCACCCTTAGCAGCAACAACTGCAATCAAGCGTTTGCGATAACTGGCAATGAGTCTTTTACAGCGCTGTAGAGGAGTTTTGGCCCACTCATCTTTGCAGAATTGTTGTAATTCAGCCACATTGGAGGGTTTTCGAGCATGAACCGCCTTTTTAAGGTCATGCCACAGCATCTCAATCGGATTCATGTCGGGACTTTGACTAGGCCACTCCAAAGTCTTCATTTTGTTTTTCTTAAGCTATTCAGAGGTGGACTTGCTGGTGTGTTTTGGATCATTGTCCTGCTGCAGAACCCAAGTGCGCTTCAGCTTGAGGTCACGAACAGATGGCCGGACATTCTCCTTCAGGATTTTTTGGTAGACAGCAGAATTCATGGTTCCATTTACCACAGCAAGTCTTCCAGGTCCTGAAGCAGCAAAACAGCCCCAGACCATCACACTACCACCACCTTATTTTACTGTTGGTATGATGTTCCTTTTCTGAAATGCCGTGTTACTTTTACGCCAGATGTAGTGGGACATACACCTTCCAAAAAGTTCAACATTTGTCTCGTCAGTCCACAGAGTATTTTCCCAAAAGTCTTGGGGATCATCAAGATGTTTTCTGGCAAAACTGAGACGAGCCTTTATGTTCTTTTTGCTCAGCAGTGGTTTTCGACTTGAAACTCTGCCATGCAGGCCATTTTTGCCCAGTCTCTTTCTTATGGTGGAGTCATGAACACTGACCTTAATTGAGGCAAGTGAGGCCTGCAGTTCTTTGGATGTTGTTCTGGGGTCTTTTGTGACCTCTTGGATGAGTCGTCGCTGCGCTCTTGGGGTAATTTTGGTCGGCCGGCCACTCCTGGGAAGGTTCACCACTGTTCCATATTTTCGCCATTTGTGGATAATGGCTCTCACTGTGGTTCGCTGGAGTCCAAAAGCTTTAGAAATGGCTTTACTTACTTACTTTGTTTCTCATTTGTTCCTGAATTTCTTTGGATCGCAGCATGATGTCTAGCTTTTGAGGATCTTTTGGTCTACCTCACTTTGTCAGGCAGGTCCTATTTAAGTGATTTCTTGATTGAGAACAGGTGTGGCAGTAATCAGGCCTGGGTGTGGCTAGAGAAATTGAACTCAGCTTTCCAAAGATGTGATAAACCACAGTTAATTTATGTTTCAACAGGGGGGGGGGGGCAATCACTTTTTCACACAGGGCCATGTAGGTTTGGATTTTTTTTTCCCCTTAATAAAAACCTTCAATTACAAACTGCATTTTGTGTTTACTTGTGTTATCTTTGTCTAATATTTAAATTTGTTTGATGATCTGAAACATTTAAGTGTGACAAACGTGCAAAAAAAATAAGAAATCAGGAAGGGGGCAAACACTTTTTCACACAACTGTATTACTGTTCTAACAGTTGTAACTAAATAAAGTGTTTAACGGTGAGGGCAAATCGAGGTGAGCTTGGAAGTTAGGAACAAACTCTTGGACAAACTATCCCACTGATCCTGTGGCTCAGTCTTTAACGATCAGCAGAGGGAGAGGGCTTTGTTACTTTGCTGACCCAAACTGGGGGTCTGGAAACCTGAAGTCGCATGCTTTTTAAATCAAGATTGTAAAGCAGACAAATCATTTACACTAATGAATGGGTTTTTTCTACACATGCCTAAAACCTTTTTTTTGTGGCTTGTGAATTCATTGATTTGTTTCCCCATTATTATTGTAATACAGAAGGAAAAAGACACAACTCACTCTTCACCCCTCATCCACAACAGATGTGAGAAAATCCCTGACGAAAGGGACAATGAGAAAAGCTGCTGCGCCTGATAACATCCCTGGTCGTGTACTAACATGTACCAACCAGCTAACTGATGTCATCACTGATATTTTCATCATATCTCTGTCACAGGAGAGAGTTAACACCTGCTTCATCATTCCTGTACCTGAAACATCTGCAGTGTCCAGTCTGAATGACACTCAGCCCCATTATCTGTTCGTTTGTGCACTTTATTTTATATTTTACTGTAAATTGTAATGTTTCTACTTTGCACTGTTGATTGTTAAATGTTATGCATCTCCCATCATGTCAAATTCCTTGTATGTTCATCATAACATGGCAATAAACGGTTCCGATTCTGATGGAAGAGCTTTGCTCCCCATCACATTAACGCCAACATCCCAGTCATCACATCTCCACCCTGGTGAAGAAAGGTCTTTAACGGCTGTATTTCTTAGGGAAACGTAATAAATCACAATTCCCATGCCAGGTTCTTGTTAACTTCTCTAGAGGAGCAATAGAAAGCATCGTGACTTAAACATTAAAAAACTCTCATGGGATGTGTACACCAGGATAAGAGGCTCTACAGCAGGGGATTAAAGCTGACCATAACATCACTGGTACCTTCTACTGAGCATCAGTGATACTGTGAGCCCAAAGGATATTAAAAGACTAAACCCAGCCAGCCTGTTCACCCCGCTGCTGTCTGGAAAGAGTAGTATAGTTTGGGTTTTTTAGTGCGTATTTTCTCATGCAGCATGATGGGACTACACACTGCATTTCGTACAACCCTGTTGAACAATAACAATTTATTAACCTTGTGCTTGTCTCATGCAACTGATGGGTTACACGTAGACAACCATCACCTCTGGGGCCAGTAAGGTTAATATCATCTACACTGGGGAAGGATCTCATGTGAGTGCATGTTTTTGGACTTTGCCATTACTGGCTAATTGAATTATTGATACACAACATATCAACTCACACCATTTTTACTCAAGGCAATTAATTCATTCAATTGACACACTTAGGGAAATCCTATCCATTTTAATTAAAACCTATTTCACTTGCTTTGGATAATGTTATACAAATGCTCTCAAGTACAAGTTGAGAACGTCAGCAGCCCACTGAAGCACGCCGACAGGTGGAAGATACAGAGGAACAAAAGACTTCAAAGTACTACATCTTTAAATACAAAACAATGGCAAATGGAAACTCCTTGCTTACATTCTTTTAACAAATATTTTAGAAAAGGTTGCATTGCAATTGTTGCCAAGACAGGCCAATAAATGAATCCGTAAAAAGGTCTGAGCACGCTAGTGCTAAAATCACATGTAAAATAAAAGTTTAAAAAACAAACCGGTGTAATTCAAAATTGGTTTCAACAGAAGTTCAAACGCATCAACTAGACCATTGACCATTATAGACATCTGTCCCAAACGATTGAAGTGTTTTTAAGGTCATATATTAAAAAAAAAAAAAAAAAAAAAAAAAAAAAAAAAAAAGTAATAATGATTATAAAAAATGATGTCTACAGACAGCAGAGCTGGTTAATGTTTAAAAAGGTCCCACACACATTTATTCCAGATTTAAAAGAGTTTGCACGAGCAGGTTGATGCAGAATTGAGTAGTGGTCGAAGCACAATCAAGGGAAACCTTGATTTCTTGCTGTTCCAAAGCTAAGAGTCCTGGACCGTCACCACTCGTCTAAATTACAAAGATGATCAATTGGGAGCCCATTAATCTGGTGAAAAACTACAATGTATGTGCGAGTTCAGCTGTACAGTTCTGCAGTGACTCTAGACGTGTCTGCTTCAGAGTCCTTCAGCGTCACTCCATACTGTCTGGGTCTGCCTGGGCCATGTAGGCGTCCAGCTCAGCATCCAGGTGGCCTTTGGTCTTTGACATGTAGGCGTCCAGCTGGTTGTCTAGTTGCTCACGGGTCATAGCTTGTTGGCCAACACCTCGCCCTCGTCCGCGACCACCTCGACCAGCAAAACCACCACGGCCACGCAGTCCCCCACGGCCTGTTGCCCCACGGCCTGTCCAACGCACACAGCATAGTGATCAATAGTCAGCCATTAAACTCAGTCTATTTAAGATCATTCTGTTACAACTTTTCCACACTTCAATAAGAGAAAAGTAAAACATAGTCATCCCCTGACCTCGGGCTACTCCTCGTGCTGCTCCTCTGGACAGAGCTCCTCCTCTCCCAGGAGCTCCTCCACGGTGGCGGCCTCCTCTACGCATTGCCAGACGGCCAGCAGAGCCACGACCTCGCATGGGGCCACCTGTAGAAGACACTCGCTTGCCTGTGCAACACAAAGACATATGGTCACTCAATGCAAACCCAGGACCAACAGTAAATACAAAGAGTTGGGATCAGATTCTACCTCTCAGGGACAGGGCTCCCCTCATCACTCCCCCTCTGGCTCGTCCTCGGAGGCCGCCCCTGATCATCCCTCGCATTCCCCCTCTACCTCCAGCAGCTCCTCCACGCATCAGAGTCCCGACAGGCCGGCCCAGCCTGGCCTGGATGTTGCTCTTCCCCAGGCGCTGCTTCAGGCTCTGACAATTTATCCACAGATTTTATTATGACAAAACGAAATCAGCCAAACAAGGTGGGCAACTGTGAGGAAACGTCATGCTACAGGTGATGGTTACAGGCACTCAATCAAGGCCACGTTCAAGAGACAGTAGCCCGGCGTAAAGACAAAGAGGACCGATGCATAGAACTCTAGCTCGAGTCCTCACTAAGACCAAGAAAGTGGATCACATCACTCCAGTTCTGAGGTCTTTGCACTGGCTTCCTGTCCAACAAAGAATTGACTTTAAAATCCTGCTGTTGGTTTATAAAGCACTGAATGCTTTAGGGCCAAAATATATCTCTGATCTGCTGCTACCTTATGAACCATCCCGACCCCTTAGGTTGTCTGGGACCGGTCTACTTTCTGTTCCCAGAGTCAGAACTAAACATGGAGAAGCAGCGTTCAGTTCTTCTGCTCCACATATCTGGAAAAAAGTCCCAGAAAGCTGCAGGTCTGCTGAGACCCTCAGCTCCTTTAAATCAAGACTGTTTGTTGCTGCCTTTAATTGAACCAGATTCAAGGATATTAATCAATTTCTGCATTTTACTACTGTATTTTATTTCTTACACTGCTTTTTAGTGTTTTAAACTGCTGTTAATGTTTCAATCAATGTTCTTAATTGTTTTTAAATGTCCTTTTATTTTGCCTTGTGTTTTTAATGGTTTTATGTGAAGCACTTTGAATTACCTTGTTGTTGAAATGTGCGATACAAATAAACTTGCCTATGTAGATTCATGATTAAAACTAGGAGTACGCATTAACACTGGCATGCAGACGCGATCAGATATATGAAGCTGCATCACACCTGATTCTGTTATAAATCTCAATCATCGTAGAACTGGGTGCACAAGCCTCATTTCCACTCCCACAGTTTGTTCAAGTGCGTTTCAACATCCATTCATGGCCATTGTTTGCATATCAATACTCCACCAGCTCATTAGACCCGTCTATGCGGTCCACACAGGCCAGGATTCTGTCCTCTTGTGGAGTACTCACATGCTGGACATGTTTCAGCCACATTGTAACGCTTATGTCAATTTAATGACAACCTATTTACAATTTAACTAAAGCCAGTGTGCAGAATTCCACATTATCTAAGCACACAATCAAAGAGCAGATTCTCTACTAGGAACTGCTAACTAACCAATTGTTATGGTAGGAAAAGTCAAACTGACATTTTTGGTTTAAAGTTGCATTAATCAATTTTTGGTGACTCAGTAGCATAAAAACATAGCAGTTCCATATCCCTGGGTAACTAACATGTTAGCATACAGTTGGCTGCTTTCAAGCCCAGGAGACACATGGGTGCTGCTTAAAGAAAAGTATTTTCACTGTGTCCATGTTGGGCAGTGAAGATTTTCTTTTAATGGTGCAATTTGGTGCATTCTGGTCATGATTTCTATCCCTAGCAAAGGACTTATTACATTTATGCAGGAGAAGAAAGTAAAACATCTCACTTGAGCAGATATACTATTTCTCTCCTTACTAAACAAAGAACGTAGACTTATTTTACCTACCAGCTGTATTTTAGAATAAAAACAGCTGCATCTGTAAATAGTATCTTCATCAACTTTAAAGGCTGTCAGTAAAGAAAAAAGTTACTATTTGTGTTTTTCATATGAACTAATGTGACTGGTCCCTCTTTACAAATACATCTCGTGTCAAAGACGGACAGAGGTAGAGTTTTGTTAAACCGTTTTCATTATAAAAATAAGAACATTCCAAACACACCAGTATTACACCGTACGCACACTCAACAAACACTCTCCCAAAAGGCAACAGTTCACAAAAGGCTACAAAACTGAAAAATCTCTCTTCTCCGTTGAACAAGGCCATTTCCAGACATGGACTACGTACAAAAGTAGCGTCTCATGTTACGTCCTTGAAACACAGAAGTACAAATGTTTTTGTGTTACATTACTTAACTGTGTGACCATGTACAAGGTGAGATATATTAGAATTATTGCTAAAATAGTGTCAGTCTGAATCGTCACATAAAAATCATAGAAATGCTTTATTTTTTTTAAATCAGTAACTACCTGGTGGAAAATAATCCTCCGTCTGTCTTCATGCAGATCTGTGGTGATGTTTGTTCAAGTGGTGACGCTATGAACCATCATCCACACATGAGGCTTTGCTGAGCTGAGATTTTAGTAAGTAGTTTAATTCAAAGGTTAATCAAATGGAACCAAATTCCCATCCCGTATCATAACATTACTGAGAAGTCTTTTCTCAGACAATCAAGTAAATCTTTACAAAAATATAGCATCTGTGCAGGTCAGTCTACAGTTTAAAACATGGCTCTATGTGGGAACAGGGTCAGTGACCCTCAGCTCGTCTGATCTTTGCCCTCACCTGCTTGTGATTCAGAGCCGCTTGCACCGAGGGCCGGTTCTCCATCTGCTGGGCCAGCCGGCGATTGCGGGCACTGGCCAAATGCTGCTGTTGCATAGTGGCTCGAATGCTTACTGCAGCAGGCTGCTTGTTCTTCAGCATGTTAGTGAAGCTTTGGAGTTGGGAGGGAAAAAGAGGGAGGAAGTAAAAGAGGGGGATGGGGGATATACAGAGGAGGAGGAAGCAGGGTTCCACATCAAGTCAATTTCTCATAGAATGGATGAAGCCACACAGACTGGTGGCTCTTTGGTTATGCAAGACTTAGGTTCCACTCGTTGGCACTCATTTTCTCTCTCAATGACACGACCATCCAGAATGATTATACTTGAATTTAGCATGAGTTTTCAAACAAGCACAAGAAGAAAGGCCAACTAAGAGAAACTCACAGTAAAGACAGACTGAGGGACAGAAGCAGAAAGAAGGGGTCAGAAGAGCGCAATTTGCCACTTACAGGCCCCCAGCTGACTGGCCGCGGTGTCGTCCTGCTGCAGCAGCAGAGGCCCTGGACTGGAGGAGTGCCTAGTACCCAGCCACTTACAGCATGGACCGTGACTTGTGGTTAGACCACGGAGAGACTCAGAAGGGAAGGGGAGCTCTTTGTCACGTCCAAGCTAGGACTGAGTATCTGGTCTTTTATAGACTTTGAGCAGAGAAGAGAAAGAATGAGAGAACAGGAGGGTGAAAAGGAGAATGTGCATCACTTTCACTGGTTTGAGAGAGGCAGACAGGATCAAGAGGTGCCCCATCTTTTTGGTTTAGTTTAAGCCTTCGTCTCCCCTTTATAGGTGTATACTTGATGTATACTGTGCTGTTTAAGTAACAGGGTGCAGGAGTGCCAGGGCATTTGTAGGACAGTGGTCTGGTCCAGCATAGGCTAACCAAGGCTTACCCAGAACGACCACTACCCTCTCCCCTTGTCTATATGTGTGCACTGCTCACACAAGATATTTGGCCCGGGCCAGCCCCTTCTTCTCACATTTAACTCTGCAGGTGCATCAAAGAATGTTGACGGAACCAATAAAGTTGAGTGAGCAGTGCACACACTGGGGACAGCCAGAATAGCATCCATGTCGGGTCCGGTCCCCAAACAGTGGCCTTCCGTAGGGAGCACTAGAACCTTCACAAGGCTGGCCCTGGCCTCCGGTGTGTAACTGCTGACAGGGTGCGTGGCGCCTCACCGCTCGTTCAAGGACACTTTGGTGGTACTTTTCAGCACGACTTTTTGGGAGGAGGCTGCACTCATTTTGGCAGACTTCGCTTGCAGGCTCCTGGAAACAGACGGGACAGAAAATAAAACACAGTCAACTGATAGTCATGAGAAGGGAAGGGATTCAGATTCAACACTATTGAACCTGGCTCTATGCTGTAAGCACAATTGCTGTATTTGAGATAATTACTGAACCTATACATAGTATTATTTCTCTCTGCCAGGGTGATTTAAACACTGTATGCTAGTCATGAATGTAACTTCCCTTTGGAGTAAACATGTTAAAACTACCAAACAAGTCATCTGAACCCAATCACAAGATGGTGGCCTCTGTGCAATAATCCCTAACACAGTAATGGGTGGACCGGGTGAGATGTTTCAACAGCTGCTGGTTGATCACAGATGAACAACCATAAGCAGCACAACGTGTGCCATGAAGTGATGAGAGCATGCATTTTGAATTCCAACCACCGAGTGACTTTAGTGCCACTTTCCCTGTACCCCTGCGGTCTAAATGAAGCAGAACGTTTGATAAAGTGCTCTGTAGTTGTTGGACTGAATGTCTCGATGCTCAGAGACACACTTTAATCCGCTAGGTATTACAAGGAAGTGTGATACCGTCATTCACTAATGTGGTTTAGAGTCAAGAACACAGAGTACGCTTTCTATATGTGCTTACTCTTGATCCCAAGAAACTAGCTTAACTTAGCTAACAAAAACAAGTATAGTCAGACTTCTGATAGCCACTAACGTTACATCAGCAGCCCAATGTGTCAACCCAAGATGAATTAAGTAGCTCAATTACAATTCAAGTGCCTATAATAATCATTTCCAGCATGTTTTACTTACAGTGACTGATGCGTCGGTCGAGAAGAGCCTTGCGGCCAGCTAGGGTTAGCTTTAGCAGCTAGCAGGTAACGTTACCGGCGCAGTGTGGCCGGGTGGTTGTCCTTATAGTCTTGTGTTAAAATACAACATAGAATATGCTACCTTCCTAGCTAAGCGCTGTAAGAAATGAGCAAACTCTAGTTGAATTCGGGTCTTTCTCAGACTATTCGCAAAATGCTGGAACAGGTTCTACAGCGAGTCTCACTAAAATGGTGCTGCTAGCTTAATTTACCGACCACTGGAAGAAAATGGAGATGTCTGCAACGTCACGAGGACGTGACGTAGCTTCCGGTCTGTCTGCCAGTGTTGTTGGGTTACTAAAATGGCGACAGCGGCTGTAGTAGTGACTTCCTCCGGCAAAGATGTTGTAGCGGAGGGGCTGCTCGACCTCCTGAGACCAGCTATCCAGCAGCTCGACGTGCATGTACACTCAGTCAGGTAGACGCGGCTCCTTGTTGAATGGTGAACTGACGTTATTTAAACGTCTCCTGGATCACACCCCTGCTGTCGTCCGTGCTAGCAGCCCCTTGACTGTCTCGTGACTTTCCAGAATGTGTCAATCCGGTGCTGTTTATTATTTAAATGTTAGCGTTACTGTCTATACATCTGTTAGTCATGTCTCCCTCAGGTTTCATAAGCCTGTATTGTTTGATCTTTGATGTGTCCCATCTCCCAGTCTGTTTCCAGCTTCTGTGTGTGCTTATTGTGATGGATGTTTGTTGTGTTTACAAATGATGAAGAGAACGTGGAACTGCACAACTATTCGACACTTGAACCGATGTAAAGGGTGCATTTGTTTCTTTGTGTAATCTGTCCTTCCTCTGGATTAATGTGATTCTTTTCTTCTTCACAGAGAAAGCCAGGTAGAATTAAGAGAACATATAGACAATCTGGCCACAGGTAATTTATTGGATATATATATCAAACATAACATTAGTTTTTTAAAGATACATTTATGAAGTACATTAAATAACTTGTTTACTAACCATTGGATTGGTCATGTGTGTCTCTTAATGTACATTCTTTGCAGAGTTGTGCCGGATAAATGAACATCAGAAGGTGGCTCTAGACCTGGACCCTTATGTAAAGAAGCTGCTGAATGCAAGACGTAGAGTAGTGCTGGTGAACAACATCCTGCAGAATGCTCAGGTCAGTGCTGTGGGACTTTTAAAACTGCACTTATCAATATATTTTTTTACGATTACTTTTTTTTTTTATGCAAAAGGTGTCACATTGACAAACCCACTGAGAATTATTACTGACTCTGTAGTTCCCCTCAGCTCTACAAGGCTTTTTAGCAACTTCAACTTGTTTGGGTTTTCTGGCATTCAATCTGTGCTCTCATCACCCTGGTTTCTAGTGGCACAGAAAAAGCTCTAAAAGCCAACTGTACACTACCTGCCCAGTAGAAAACAGCAGACAGACTGTTAGAGACTAGCTGGGGAACACGGTGGAGCATTTAGCAGCTAAAGAGACAGGTATTTCCCTCAGTGGGTGGTGGAGACCAAAACAGAGGAAAAAGAGTTTGACCTACATTTAACAGATGGACACAAAGACTCCAAATGTTCGCCTGGCCGGTTCCACCGTTAATACAGTTACTGCTAAAACAGCCACTACTGCAACCATTGCTAATACCTGTCCCACTAAAACTAACACTTGAAATGATTAGTTGTAGTAGTACTACAACTGCTGCTACTACTATAACAACTTTTGCTAAAGTATGACTAGTATTATATTACTACTACCACTACCACCACTTAAGCCCCTTTTCCATTAGACAAAATCACAAACACCATCTAGTATCTGGCTTTTGTGTTTAGAGGGAAAGGTTACCATCGGTATTCATTCCCAGGACAAGTGAGTCTGCAGTAGTCACAGGTATTTATTGGTCCCAGCTCCGATTGGCAGTGATGTAAACATGACACCCGGGTGGAAACGCTAATTTTCACCTCTTTTCTGCTGCAACTCGTGACTCTTTGTCATCTCAGCCACAAATTGTCTGCCTCCATCCAAGAAGCGCCTGAACATTGTTCCAAATTAGTCACCACTGAGTTCCAAAGAAAGGCTGAAGAAGTAAGCACTGTAACATTTTCACTGGCCTCTAAGCTGCTTTCCACTGTGTTCTAACCCTGTTTTCCAGCACGTGTGTGATGTCTAATGTGACTCATTTGGAAAAAAACAGAAATGCATCCTTGTCTACTGGCAATTGGAAAGGAGTATATTGTCTTTTTTTTAAACAGGCTTTCCCGTCGTTAAAATAATGTAATTAATTTTAAGATAATTTTTTTTTAAATAATGTACTACTGTACAACTACTGCTAATAACTATTACTATCACCCCTCAATGTTTAACAGAAAAAGGCACACAAACAGTAAGACAGTATATGAAACGACCACATAACCTAAACATTCTTTCCCCAGGAACGTCTGAGACGACTCAACCACAATGTGGCCAAGGAGACCGCTCGGCGAAAGACCATGCTGGAGGCTTCAGGAGTGTTCACCTCCCGCTCCCCCAGTAAACCCTGAACCTCCTCCTGCTCTGTGAACTGTCCTGACACATCATTACTGGAGACTGCAACAGGAGGAGCACGAGTCTTCCTTTGACGTTTGGTTAGCTGTTTGTCCAGTGACATGCTGGCCTGCAATGCTTTGTCTTATGTTGTAATCAAAATAAACATCCTGGCTGCTATCTGTTCTGCGTTAGGCAGCTGTAAAATGACAAAATACAACAGAATCCGCTTTACATTTCACAAGATAACACATTTACTCTACAGAATCAATAACTACTTAAACCAACGAGCAAGATAAACTAACACTTAGCCTGGGGTAATGTTGGGCACCAAAATATCAGATCCTTGTTTTGTATTCAGATGACTACATGTACTATAATGCACTGGTCTGGCCACTAGGGTTGGGTCAGATTCATTTGAAATTGAACCGAGACCTCAATACATTACACAATCTAATGTGAACCTTGAAAATGTTGTACCTTTGTACTAAAAACAATTGACACAGCCACAACAATTGAATTCTGCAAAATTGTTTGTAGTTTAAACATCTCACAACATTTCTGATGCACATTTTGCATTTTCATAATTTACAATTGTTCAAATCAAATAAGACAAACTACAGTTGTATTGTTTGTATTTTGCAACATGTGGGATGCTGTTTCTTTTGTGTAAGTTGTTGCTGATTTTGTAAAAAATGTAAGTAACATGGAGGACTTAACTCTTGAAACGCTAGTGTTAGGAACACTAACTCAAAAGGTTCATCTTCCATTTTTAATGTAAATTAAAATGAATTAAAACTACATCCATAAATCAACATTAAAAAACAAATATTCATTAAAGCTACAATCAGGAACTTCTTTGTGTAGATTTTTGCTGTTCCAGGATGAAAGTGGTGTTTCCGAGCACCAGAATCCCTTAAGAAAACCTTGGTTTACTGCAAAAGGGTCCGAAATTATGCCCTGATCTGTCCTGGTTCTGGTTCTGGTTCTCCATTGCCTCCCAGTCCGTATCCAGCAGCACGGCGTTGGTATTTGCTGCCAGCGAGGACTGCTGGAGCAGCGAAGCCTTGCTGCTGCCTGCAGGAGCTCTCCTCTCACCGGAGCTTCCAACTGCAGGTTGAAGGTGGAAGCGAAGCCAGATCTGGGTCTGTCCATGGAGACATAGCTTACTTTGATATAAAATTACTTTTCATTAGTTAATAGCATTGGTTTTAATCAAGAAAGTTTCACAATTTTAGAATTTCAATATTTTAAAGTAGAATGTAATCAAGTACTCCATGTAACTATAATTTAATTGCACATTTTCCAAAATATAATTGGGACTGATTATAGTTTTTTCCAATCTGAAAATCTCGTCTTGACAGAACATAGCTACTTGCACTTTTGATAGTGTTATTTAGCAACATTGTCCTCTTGCAAGCTCTGGACTTGTGCATTAATTAACAACTGGTCGTTTGTCAGACAATTACTAACAATAACCCTGCGCCTGGCATCTGAAATGAAAGAATAAAATACGATACAATACAGAACTACAGTTGTGTTTTAGTTCAACACATTGAAGTGCAGTAAAGCCTGAACCCGTCAATCAAAGGCCTCAGGGGAACAGCATTTTTCATTTAGATTTGGAGGTGGCAAGGGTTCTGGTACATTTGAGATCAGCAGGGAGTTGGTGCCATGTGCGTGCAGCAGCTAAAAGCTGCTTCAACCTGTTTGGTTCTGATTTGATGTTCTACCAGTTGACTGCTTCTTAAAGATCCGGGCCCTGCAGAAACATATTTTGGCCCGAGATTATTTGAGTGATTTATTACCTAGCACCAGCATATACAGGTAGTGTAAAGATTTAAGAACAGGAGTAACCTGCTTGAAATGAAGGCATGAATGAGTTTGGACATGAGACCTGTAATTCTTGCTATGCTTGAGATAATAAAATTCTGATTTGTTCTGATTTGTGAGTCGATTAAAAAACGAACTAACTTGTTTTTGTCTTGCTACTAGCAGAGTGCTATGGCAGCCAAAAGAGGACCAACGATCTGTGGACAGGCGCTGAAATAATTGTCTGCCAGCACTTTCACTTTCACTCCTTTTTCGCTTTCTGCTGCTTCCCCTCTCAGTCATCCAGTCATCTCTCCCATCCAGTCTAAGATTGCCAAGTACCAGCTCCTTATTGAAGACGAAAATCAGAAACTTAAAAGATATAAGACGGAACATAATTACAAAACAACAGCCTTCTCTGTTGTTCTGGTGCGACGGAGGAGTTATTCACCAAGACTCGACAGTGTGATTGTTTCGATGGCGAATGCTTCCTTGTTAGAAAGCTGTGACACTAGGGTAGCTAATACGTTACTGACAGCGTCGTTGTTACCACATCAATCCATGCAGGTCGGTAATGTCTGGACACACATCCAATCTGATCACTTGTTAATAACAGTGCGGAGTGTCTGTCTTAAAGATCTGATTTGAGAAACAGATCTGATTTGCCTGCAGTCTGATTGGAGCCCAGGGGACCATAGTCATTTGGTCAGAGAACTAGGTAAATGTGAGTGTCGTCGGCATAGCTGTGAGAAGCAACATCATTGTTCTGGCTGGTCTCATCCAGGATTCGTAGCAAAAACTACGAAAAATAATGCGCAGTAATTAGTAGGATATTCGACAAATTATGTTATCCACGAAATCCTGAATGAAGACATATAAAGACCGCTAAAGCACACACAGGGTGGGCGGGAGGGGAGGTCAATGGGTCCAACAAACAGTGATCTTTCGGCCATGAGGCCGCTGTTTGTTCCCCATGTGAAACGAGAAGTCAACGTTGATGTTTTTTTCACGTAACTCTGTGCTTCAGTTACGGCACTTCCGTTGTTATTTTAACCCGGACGACGGATTTTCCCAAACCTATCTAAGTGTTTTCATTCCCTAAACCTAACTAAGTATTTTACGACCTTTTCCTGAAGTAGTTTTGTTGCCTAAACCTAACTGAGTTTCCTGTGAAGAAGGAAGTTTATTGAAAAGAAACAAGCGGAAATTGACAGGTGTTGTAGGCTTTTGTAGGAAAACACATGAAAAATGAGGAGTAACTTCTCGTAGGATACCATATGAACCATTGTATGAGGATATGTTGTGTATGCAAATGGAGGTAATAGTGCTGTATGTCTGATTAATTGTTCATCAGAGTGATGGCCAGTGGAAAGAAGCTGTTCCTGTGTCTGGTGGTTTTGGCGTACAGTGCCCTGTAGGTCCTACCAGAGGGGAGGAGAAGAGTTGGAGTTGCAACTGGTTGTGTCGGGATCATAAACGGGTTGAACAATAGCGGCCTATGGTCCCTTGGGGAATCACATGTCATGGCAATCTGGATTTATAGGCACGTTTTTTTAAATATAAACTAAATTATAGTACTGTACCATGACTCAACACGCCATCTACGGTTTTAAATCAGCCCTGAACCTTGCAAGGCCAATGTTGAGATAGATTTGACACGTTGGGACTTATCCTGAAAGTTATACAAGAAAGTTAACGGCCAACTCCTGCCTCAAAATCAAGGTCCTCCACCTGGCCCCTGTAATCCACATGTCAAAGTGTCCTTTAGCTGTGAGTGTGCATGTGAATGTTTGTTGCTCCTGAGGAACAGGTGGTACCTTAGACTCTTCCACCAGTGTTAATGAATGGGTTAATGCTGGCTTGTGTTGAAAAGTGCTTTGAGTGGTTGCTAAGACTAGAAAGGTGCTATAGAACTGCAGTCCAAATACCACCCCCATAGGTTTGGTTGTTAAAAGACTAACAAGTCACATAACTATAAATGCAATAATACTCATTCAGTGCTAAGGTAGGCGCACTGACCTCCTCTGCCCCTCTAGAACCACCCCTGGTTTAATTTAAACTTCATTTAAACCGTGTCTGCAGGGTCTTAGTGCCTCTTCCATTGAAAAATACAGACATGTTCCACTCCTCTGTGTTTCAAAGCTCTGTTTATGGGAGCCACTGCATTCTCTGGAAAGCTCTGCTGACATAAATGTGTTGTAGCAAAGCAACACAAAGAATGACGAATGATATTAATCTGGTTTGATATTAGGTAATGAAAAGTGTGTAAAAGTTAAACATAATAATGCCCACATATTGCTTGTGCTTTTTAGGTTTTGTGTGATATTATTTGCTGTTTCTAAGATAAACATTATTGTCAACTTTTTGAGTTTGTGCAAAACGGTTTCTTACATTACTCATTTGTCAACAAGCTTATGAAAATAAGGCAAAGTCTGGAATGTTCATTGCATCCCACAACATGAAAGTATTGGACAGAATTTATAACAGATGATTTCTCGTTCTTAGCACCTTACAAGCAACGCTGTCTGGATGATAGCACTGGAAGAAAGGCCATATTCAAGTAGAAAGAGATCATTTTAATTGGGACATGGATTTCCTAGACAGCTGCAGTATAGGAAAGCAAGCATCCATAGCCTACTATATTTTATCAGTCTGGTCGACTCAGAGAGGACTCCACATGGCGTCATGACGTCATTAAAAAAAAAATCATAAATACTTCTCAAATACCGGCATCAGTAGGCTATCCAATCCCTGTAGAGCTTCTGTCATATTTCTTGAAATAAAATCACTTTGAATCAGTCTGTGCTATTATTGAGCCTGAGGAAGCTGTAATGCAAAACGCATTGTCTGTCATACCATTGTACATTTTGCAAGACTGAACTAATACATTTCTACCATTATCACAGAATATGGCGTATTTTCTTAAACACGTTAACTCTGACCATTGAAGAGTGGACTGCTCAAGTAACAGTTGCAGTTCGTGTGTGGGGGTGGGGGTGGGGGCTAATCTCAGCGGCGCCACCTTAAAAAAACAGTCTCGCGGACCTGTCAATCTAGACGAACCAGACAGACCCTGGCTCGCGGCCCTGTTGTGAAAACTACTACGTTATTGGCCGAAAACGGATTCCCAGTGAGACCTGACCGCCTATTGGTTGCAGCATGTCGAGACACTGACGCGCACGACGTCTCCCTTCTATTGTTATTGTGGCGTGCGCGAGTGGAACAGACAGGATGCACGAGGAGACAGTAGGGCTGATAAAAGGCTAAAACAACCGAGAAACATCAAGCTAGCACAGTGCAACGTACGAGGAATAAACATTAGCTCGGTCCATTGCAGGGCTTTAGAACAACGAGCCCTGGAACGCAGAGCAGCACCCAGGTCTGATGCAAAGAGTATGAACACAGATAGCAGCTCTGGTCAACACACAACACGTACAGCTATCTAGAGTACAACAGCGATCTTTTTGTCCAACTTCTTCTCTCAACTCTGGCTGATGTGTAAGTACAAACTATGTATCTCCATCTCGTCCTTCTCCTGCCCTCTCCAGCGTTGCAGCCAGGATAGCCTGACCGAGAATATGAGGGGGAAGTCGGTCACATTAGCTTGCTAAATTGTTGCTTACTGTAACCTGCTTTTATTCGCAACAAATGTTCGGTTCCGCTGCCTCAGTCTTCTAATGATACCGCTCATACATCTGCTCTTTATCTGATTACCTTCTTTGTTAAACTTCAAGCAGTCACACAGATGAGTCCTCGTACAAACAGAAGTTGTGTCTTAAATGTATTTATTTGTCAGATTAGCTGGGTCTCGATCCTGTCGAGAAAGGGTTCGGGTTCTCCGGTACGCATGTCAACCGGTCTGGGATGTCAGTGATTTTCATTTGAAGCATGAGGCCCTCCGGGTATCAGATGGGTTTTAGACGTCAGGGCCCACATGATAAACAGTATGTTTAAGAGGAGCGTGTGTGTGTGTGTGTGTGTGTGTGTGTGTGTGTGTGTGTGTGTGTG